GTTTTCCAATAGAAATCTGAACTCTAACCCCTCTTATCTAATTTCACTTTATATAATTAGTTGTTTTTTTTGACACTGAATAATCTGTCTACCTACATCAAATTCTGGAATTATGTTCCTTATACCTTCTATCTATAACTCCAAGTAATTATGAAAAAGTATGTTCCAAAAATTTTTTGAAACTTATAATTTGATTTTGTTTAGGATGTATGCAGTTGATGAGTATCCACGAAATAAAACGAGCTCGTATAATCCTGCAAACATGTTCATTCTTTCTCTCTTCAAACTAATAATGGGAACCGGTTGTATGAAATTACTGAATCTTTGTCCATCGAATCTACACCCAACACATGTAATAAGAATGACTCATCACCAATACCAAAAAGTGGGAAATACTACTACCAATCAAATCAAGAGGAGAAAAATAATGGAATTATATAAATGAAGTTAGAAAGTTTGTGTAAGTAAATTGATATGATTATGAGCAGTGAGAAATTGTGCCTGAAACGCGGGCATCATTAAATATTACTGTATAACAACACTGTGAGACATATTATCAAAATAAATTTTCTCCATAATAGAATTATACTCTACCACAGAGCCTAAATTCTATACTTATATTAGGTATACTTTTGTAGCTTGTTGTACCTTACTTGATACATATTTGTCTACACTTATAAAGAAAATAATTGTAATAAAAACTCCAAAAGACACTGAGTTAAATTCTTACAAAAACACTTCACGGAAGTGTAAATAATAAACACTCGTGTGTAAATACTAGCTGAAATATATTTTTGATTGTCTGCAATCACTGAATACGACCTAAGTGAGGAAAATTTAACGAAATAGTTAAAACTTATGCTGTGATACACACATACAATCAATTCTGTACCATTTTATTATCAATACTGAGTTCTGAACTACAAGTCCCCTGTATTAACTCAAGTGACTATTAGATTACATAGAATGCATATTTCAAATATCTGTTTAAACCACATCAATGTTTCATGTAAGAACAATACTGGAACACTATTTCTCAATTACTGATGTTATGTAGACCTGAAATAATCGCGAAAAAACAAGTCATCACCAACAAGTTACACATAATTTACACGACAGTGAATTTGCAGACAATTTTGCAAGGAAGTACAATTGATTATATTTTATTCTTTGCATTTCGAGTGGAATATACGGCTTTCAGATTTCATCAGCTGCCTTCACTGGTTGACCGAAAAAAATTAGCAACAAAAAACTCTGGCTGGCAACAAACCAACCAAGAGCTGATTGCTCAACAAATATGTAGAAGAAAATGGAGGTGGATCGGGCATACATTGAGGAGGCCGTCGAATGATATTCCGCTCAATGCAAGCCATCGCTCGAGTGGAATCCTAATGGGAAGTGGTGAGTGGGTCATCCTAGGGTGACATGGAGGAGGTTGTGAGAAGAGGAGATGAGAGATTATGGGCAATGGTGGACCCAGCTGAAGAGGACAGGAAAAAATAGAGCAAAGTGAAAATGCTTTGTTGAAGTCCCATGTTCCACTCGGAACCCCTAGGGAATAATAATAATAATAGACCTGAAATTTCAGTAGTAATCAAAATTCTCTTACGGAGTGGGGTTCTTAGCCTCCCCCTCCCCCTCACAAACTACCCTCATTTCCGAGCTCACAATTTTTTAGACGAGGTTTAGTACTGTGCTGGCTGGCAATCGAACCCAACGCACGTGAGTAGCTGGTATACACTCTACCACGTGAACCACAGATACACAAAGGACAATTCTCACACATATTAACTGAAATGTAGAATAATAGCTTTCCCTTGATAAACTATTATATTACTCAATGTCTAGCATACATGCGAACAGCTAACAAAGAAACATATTTCATTCTACTCAAAATGTTCCTTAACCATAGGTGATAAGTGTAGTTTTAACAACAGATACTGACACAAAAGAATTCCGAGGAAATTGTCATCTGAAATCTTACGTGTACTAAATAAAAACTTCTGCATCCAATGAAAGCATAAACATCCACATAAAAATGGACATAACCCACTGACTAACGTCTGCTTTGCAAGTTGATGACTATTCAAATACATTTGGATCAAAGTGACCTCATACATTGATCATATTTACAAAAAAAGTATTTTAATTGATAAAATGAACAAAAGTTTGCATCTGAAAAGTACTGTGAAAATGTAGTGTACCATGTTGTACAGCTAATGTGAAATACTGGATCGTAAACACAAAAACGTCGGTGGCACAGCGGTAAGGTGCTCGCCAACCACGCAGGTAGTCCTGGGTTTGACCCCCGGCCAATGCACTCCTTTACCTTGCTAAGCCAGTAGTAAGACTGGTAAAGAGGGAAGGTTGGGTATGAGGCTAGCAACCCCATCCTGTAAAAATAATCTCCACTGCCATAGAAACTTCAAGCCTCTAGCTTGAAGGCCTATGTTCCACTGGGAACGTGAAGGAATATTTAAAAAAAACACAAAAACGAAAATTGGAGAAAGAAAAATTCTAGCCACCAATTCACTGGGCACGAAGAAGAAAATCCCTATCGGACCATCACGATCTGATATCAGTTGGAAATCCATTGGGAAACCAAGTAGTACTGCAGAGCCATTTCGTCCTAGTTCGGGACTCCCCATCAGCATGCACCCTGCGAGATTCAAAACCATAACTTACCGTCTTCAAGATGAGCTCGTAGACAGTTTAGCCAATGGGAACCGAACAAACGACCCGTGAATTAGAAATTCCGCCAATTTTCGCTAGTCACAACTTCTCACCAGAACTCCAAGTAACTTTCTGTATAGAGTCGGTTGCTAGTGATCATCATAGTAATTTTCAAAACTAGGACAAAACAGCTGTCTAGTACTCCTTGATGGTTTTCCAATGGTTCTCGAACTTATGCTGGGTCACCAACAAACCTATAACAATCCAATCTCTACAGGAGCAGTGAGATTATCAGAAAATAAGAATTTAGTTAAGGTTAGAATGATTGATCCCACGAAGATAAGTAATTGAGAAAAAAACTCAGCAATCGCACTGCATACGCACAACCATACAATAGGGTGGGTGGGACAGAGTGAAAATTCTAGAGTAACAAAAGTAGGTGGAGAGAGAGATTGATCATTGAATCCTACCTGGTTCATCGAATCTACACCCAACACATGTAACAGAAATGGCTCAATGCAAATACCAGAGATATGGAAGATATTATTACCAGTAACATCAGAGAAGGATAATAAATAATCTTAAAATTCTATTTCAGTTCACGTACATTATAACATTCTAACAAGTTTTACTTATTTTGACTACAAAAAACATCTTATTTTCCATCTGATTGTATTTGATTGATAACACTCATATTATTATTATTTCTGAATGTACATTATTTTAAATATTGATTTTATTCACATATCTAATCATCAATTTTTACTCATGTACATAAATGCAGCAAAACGTGTGTGCGAGTGACTTGATATGATTATGAGTGGCAATAATTTGTGCTCGAAACGTGGTAGAACCAGTAAATATTACTGTACAACACTGTATGATTTATCAAAATAAAATCTTATCTATAATGGAGACCTACAAACCAACTCAAGAAAAGAAGTGCGTAACTGATTTCATTGCCTTAAGAATGGTTAACATTTACCATGATCAGTAAGTTGAATGACGGTGTGACTTTAGTTCAAGACGGAAACAACATATCAGCTGAAAATTGTTTGATCTAAGTCTTGAAATTGTTTGAGGTCTTCAAAATGCATAACGAATCCAAGGTTCCACTGAGAAACGGTGATCTCCTGACTTATTAGTTTCTAATATGCACAACAACTGAGGTGTCTTTTTTCAATAACAAAAGCAGCTGCACGAAACTGAATGCGCTGGACGTAATACTGAAATTAGCTGGGGAAAAAAAATCAAAACAATTCTCCTAATTGTTCTTCGCTATAAACAAGTATCATCGAATAGATTCACATTACTTAATTCAGTTCACCTAATGACGTCTGCAAACAGATGTTGTATTTAAACATACGATCATGTGAAGCCGAAAGGGAAGCGGCGAGTTGGTCGTCCAAGAGTTACTTGGAGGAGGTCATGTGAAGAAGAGATGAAAACGTGTCGGTCGACTTGGAGCCAGGTGAAGACTCTAGCAGAGAACCGAACGCAATGGAGACGCACGGCTGAAGCCCTATGTTCCTCTAGGAATTAAAGGAAATAATAATAATCATGTGAAGGAGAATCAACTGTGTATCTTCCCAATCTACAAAACAAAATATTAGCCTTAAGAATGTTTGTGTTTCATTGGTAAATTCTGTTTCTAAGGCGTAATGAACTAATCTTTATTAACAAATATCTTTAAATGCTTCACTGTTTAGCATCTCTCAGATATCCAGTCATAATGAAAACTTCGATGTGTTAACGGTGGTCAGATTGTTAGTGTGATCACTAAAAAAATCATCATCATTTTTAGGCCAAGTGAAAACACTCAAGATCACATTCTACCCATATATTACTATTGATTCATATCTAGTCATGAACCAACGTGTTTAAGCCATAACGTAGATTGTTAAGAGATAAGAATTATCAATATCTGGAAACGAAATCATCTGATCTAGAATGTTACGCTCATTACATTGAAACCTAACGGTTTTGCGCTCAGTCCACTCACTGCCAAAGAGTACTGATGAAAAGTCAAAATAAGCACGAAACACCTAATCTGTGCTCTCTGGATTTTGTTCGTACCATGTTTCTAGCCGCGAAGAAATCAATACAGATGAAAACGATAAAAGATGGTTAACGGGAACCTAATTACTAAGGAGAAGAAACAAATAAAACTGTAGGCTGATCACTTCAAAGGACTCTTGAATCGACCATCACCTGCAAATCATCCAGAAATACCAACAACAACAACACCGATAGCGCGCACAGAATTCCCTACCAGTGGACACCGATCCTCAAGCGAAAGCAGAAATTTGGAATGTAATCAAGCTACTGAAAGCCAGTTGGCAAGACAACAGGACCAGACGGAATTCGCCCACCCCCGAAGCACTGAAAACGGTCACCGAGACTGAGGCAGATGTACTCACGCTACCACTGCAAAATGTTTGTTAGGAAGGAAAGGTGCCTACTGATTGGAAGAAAGGCTGGATACCTTGTCAAACTACCGAAGAAGGGCGACTTACGCCTAACTCTGCAAGAACTGGTGCCAAATCACACTCTTCTCCACGCCAAGCAAAATACTATGTCACGTCATTCTAGACAGAAAGACAAAAGACGCACTGGATGCACAACTCCACCCACCAAACCGAACAAGCTGAATTCAGAAAAGGCAAATCATGTGGAGATCAAATCGCTACTACACACATCACCATCGAACACAGCCTAGAATAGAATGGCGGTCAAGCCTCTATCTCAATTTCATCGATTTTCGAAAGGCCTTCGACAGAGAGCGTTGATTGAGAAGTAATTTGGAAACTACTTCAATAATATACTGACAAACTGATTGAAGAGGCAGGCAGCGAAGACAGGATTTCAAGTGGACATAGAGAAGGTGGAGATGGAGGTGATGAAGACGACCAACCAACCAACAACATCAGCAACAACAGCCAGCATCAATCACCATCAACGGGAGAGATTTATAAGAGATTACTTTCCTGACTTATTTAGGCAGGGTCATTTCAACTAAATGCAACACGGATCAGGATGTCAAAACTAGCCAGAATCAAAAAGGCAAGACAGACCTTTGCCACTCTGAAAGCAGTTTGTGAATCTGATACACTCAAAATCAACAACAAAATTCGTATTTTCAACACCAATATCAAGTCAGTGAGTTCTATATGGGCCAGACTTCGCCAACGCATCACGAAAATCATTTCCAACAGGCCACTGCAAACCACCTGTACCGAAAGCTGTCTTCACTCTATGTTGAAAATCAGATCGCTGGCCAAAAAGAATTAGCAACAAGATCCCCTGGGAACGAACCAACGAAAAACCTGTTGAAATCCCTGAAACCTCAAAGTCTTGATACAATTCTATGGTACCTTATTTTGTGATACCTTAAACGATAGAATACTGTTTATCGAACAATGTCTACTACAATGTAAGCTATTATTAGTTGGCATACTAAAATAACTATCGTACACTCAAGAAACATGAAATAATAGAGAAGATTTGTAGCTCAGGTGGGATGATTTGCAATTAAAAGTGTTCTCTGAGCTGGTTGGTTTAGTCGCGAAGCTTTCGTCGTCTTTCCGGGCAACATCTTTGTGCTAAATATGGCGCTGAAGATGTTGCCCGGAAAGACGACGAAAGCTTCGCGACTAAACCAACCAGCTCAGAGAACACTTTTAATTGCAAAACTCAAGAAACTTATCAATAATTAGTTTAACTAACAAGTAACATGAAGCATCGGTGGGATATCAGTTAAACCACGCAGGTGGTTCAGGGTTCGATCCCCGACCAACGCATTTTTTTTACTTCGGTAAGCCAGTAATCAGACTGGTAAAGAGAGAAGGTTGGGCATGAGGCTAGTAACCTCATCCTGTAAAAATAAATACCACTGCTATCGAAACTTGAGAGTTCTAGCTTGAAGCCCTATGTTCCACTGGGAACGCGAACGAATAAACAGAAAAAAGAAGTAACATTTTCACCTTTGTAAACGAATCCTATACTAATTTCTCAGTGGATGTAGTTTGGCTGAAATGACCCTAAACTGATTACAACCTAGACAGTACAAACATTACAGATTTTGTGACAAATTGACTTCGTCTAGAGAACCACCATTGAAAACCAGTAAAGAGTACTGGACATCTGTTTCATCCATGTTTTTTCTGAACTAGCAAGGTCTCACCAGAGATTAATCCCATGACCTTTGGGTTTCAAGGTGAGCTCGTTAACGATACAGCCGCTGTAATCCGATGACTCATCAATTCTAACTTTTAAGAATTTGCGATATATCGCCCAACTGATACGCAATGTCATTCGTGGGAGTTGTCTGTTCTCACGGCCGATTTCGTTAACCCCGCTGGTCACGATTGCACCCACTAGGTCTGTGGACACAGTCACTAATGAAAACTAGATTAATTTTGGCTACATCTAGTAAATTGGTGGAAGAGTTTCAAACAAAGACGAAACAGCTGGCTAGTACTTACTAGTACTTCTTACGGGTTTTCAATGGTTCTCTAACTGAAGTCAGTTTGTCAGCGAACTTGAAATCGATCAAATTTACCACCTCTCCGTGTAAAACAAACACTTGAAGGTAAACAAATGACAAACAATGACAATAATGACAACATATCAGATGATCTTACTAACTGTATTTGTATATATTACATAAAGTAAATGATGAAAATATATACTTTCTGCATCTTTAAATTAGAAACAAACATGTTAGTTAAATGGAACAGTGGTCAGTTGTACGTCACGACGTTGTATAAACTTTGGAAAGCCAAATTAAAATTGAAATTAACCGGGATTTATAATTTCAACAGACAAAATGAGGTGGTAAATATTTACACAAATCAATATGATGATGAGGAATAAGAAAAGAGGAAGAGACACACAAAGAGAGAGAGAGAATGGGCAGAAGAGAAGGATTAAAAAACATGAGTATTTACAGTAGAGGTGAAATATAAACAGAAGGAACGGTGGAGCCAAAAATCACAACAATCAAAAGAAGCGTAAGGATGTCTATGACTGACTGTATATGTATGTATATATATAAGCATGTTTTTGTGGACGGATACACAGAAGATATGCCTACATCCACGATTGTATAAGTGGCACTAGGCAAATGAGATAGTAACAGAATATCGCACCACAGTTGTGCTTTTTTGGAAAAATTGAATGAGATCACATTAAGTAGTATAGACGATGGTTTATTATTTTGTTTTTGTTTGAATCAAAGGTAACTGGTGCTGAACGAATCAGCGGTGACAATAATAATAATAATATACATAAACGTAGATAAGACAAATTTTTCCATTGGTTTTGTACGTGAGTGATACATAATCTTGGCGATAAACTGATGGTTGAATGAAAGAATGAATGGCATAAATGACAATAGTAATATTAGCATTTTATCGAGGTATACAACTGAGGTTAGTTCTCATTACTATAAACGTAAAGGCGAATCATAATTATGCATAATAACATACTTATATATATATGTATATGGACGCATGAAAGTAGAATGAAATAAAGCAGATAGCGAAAAAAAATCCACTGCAGCTACAGACTTACAACAGCAACAACAACGATGTTAGCAAAAGCTAACAATGCGAAAGAGAAACAATGAAAAAGTGATCTGGCGGCGGTGGGGCGGGAGCGTAAATGAACAAGAAATAATAATGCCACTTTAATACACAGGTTATAACAGGACAGTAAATGGAAAGCAGAAAGAAGTAAGTATGAATACCTCCAAGGTGATAGATGAATGGATGGATAGATAGATGGATGGAAGACGATCATGAAACTGAGCAACACGCCAAACGAGCTCTATGCTTCCCAAAAATAAAAGGTGCCAACTGTTTATGGTTTGGTCCATTCGTTTTTTGCATCCAATGATTACACGGCTCACTTACCACTTCAGTATTATTCACATTATTATTACTGTTATCATTACTGTTGTTCCTGCTACTATTATTGACCTGTTGACCAATATTATTCGGCATTATACTGCAATAATTATCTGAAAGACAACTAGGCTGGATATTTTTAGTTGACTCTACACTTGAAGATAAATTTGAAGGATTTTTGAGTAGATTGCCTGAATGATTACTAGTCGATTTACACGATCCGTTTCCATGATTATGATTATTAAAATTTCCAATTCTTACTGGTGAATTCTGTTCAATAGAAAAAGAAGACGAAAAATTCTCCGCGTTACTTTCTAAAACCGGACTAACCGAAGGGATGACTTCTGTGTTGGCCACAGAACCACCACCACCACCAGTTAATAAATTACTCGGTAAACTCATTCGAGTAGAATGAATTGAATTTGTAACAAAAGAATCTGCACTACACGAAGCATTCATAGGATAGGTGACTGTATGCGAATTAGAATAAACACTTTGGTTTATAGATGAAGATGTTGATATAGATCCAGGAGAAAGAAGTGACAAGTTTCGATTATATGTAGAATGTTTTTGTGAATCATCTTTAAAATGACTGTTAATAGGGAAACTTTCAGATATAGCTGTCAGACTGCGTACTGATGTTGAAGTACTAGTTCGATCAGAATTATATTCACCACTGTTAACTCCAACAATTGAATTAGTAAATCTACGATTATACTGACATTGTAATTCAAACGTCCCTCGTATTATATCAATCATATACCGTGAATCTCGTAGACTTGTTGCTAGAGAGCTGAGTGAAAAGTTAGATGTGGTGCATTGTGAATTACTTCCATTTGGTACATTGTCACCAGAATGATTTTGCTGGGAACCTATGTTTGGTAATTGACTGATAGTTGATGTTGACTCTGATTCAGCCAAAGTGGCAAATGCAACACGCGCTATGTTTGAAGCTGTAAAAATAGCTGAATTTGTTTGCATACTTGAAGATTCAGATCTCCTTCGATTATTTAGGCTAACAAAAAAATCAGATACCTTGGAAATGGGAGATTCTCCACAGCGGGCTGCTTCATCATCCTCTTCACGTATCGGTGTGCAATGCTCCCGAATCGCAGATGAACCATTCAGTTGGCAATTGTTTTCACAAGATGATAGTGTTGTAATTCCACTGCCGTTAGATGCCACGTATGTTAAATACGGATGTTCGGATGTTTCGCACAATATCGGTGCAGAGCTACACCAACTGGCAGCTCTACGTGAATTACAAAGAGCACGATGAGGAGATATAGTCGAACCTCTTTTATTCACTCCTGAAACTGAGGATGTAGGGTAACGAAAATTAATTCTAGTAAGATCACTTGCCTCTTTAATGGTATCAGGAGATCGAATTCCACTGGATAAGTCCACTCCATCTAGAAAACCAGAAGAGTCTTCTGCAGGAAAAGAGTTTTCAACGGCGGCAGGTAAGGCATTGGAATCATTGTGATCAAGAAATGAGGTGTCTGATCCACAGCGGCTGGGTAATGGAGCCGTAGAACCAAGATGATACATCCCCGAAACAGCTAGCAATAAACCGGGAGGTCCACTGCATCTTCGATCAGCAGTAATGCTTCTGTTAAGCAAATGAGAGCTTTGACCATGATTTAAGTAAAGAACTTTCCTTCGACTAACACCACTTGTTTGATTTTCAGCAGGAGAAGAGCTAAATGACGGACGACGCTGTTCACTTGCTAAACTCATGTTCAGAACGGCATTCCAACTGCCAATACTTGCTGGGCGGGATGATGATGCAGGAGTATTGAAAAATCTACGAGTCCATGCTGGACTATGAGCTCCAGAATACGTTTGTTGAGTTGC